TTTCTAGGTTCACAGTTGAATTAATACAGTTATATATTATTGAACTCAGTATAATCCCTGTAAGACATAAAACTGGATGAATTTTTAACCTTTAAAAAAGATCTCCATTTCATTTTAGAGTATATTTTTTCCTTGCAGAAAGACTCATTGTTTTTGCTACTAACATTGAGATGTTGGCGCTTGCATCTCTAATCTGTATGTATCTGATTATTACTAGTCATAATCAGTTGCACTTGGATCCTTGGCACCTGTGTATGTCTACAAATTCATAGGGAAGATTTCAATGGTATTGTTTATCACCTCTACTAATTAGCATGACATAAATTTCCATGCTTCCTCCTCAAATATAATACATTTAAAAAACTTGATTTTTTTTTGTGTATAGCACACAGAACATCCCAAACCATCTCATTTGACTATACACCCACTTCCCAGATGGCAACTTCCTCATCCACTGAGTCTAGTCAGCCTATCTATAGTTCTTTGTTTTAGGAAAATCAGCTGTTCCTCAACTAGCAGCAATCAGTTGTCAATATTCTTTTAGATAAGATTGGGGTCTGCTGTTCATTTTCTCAATTTTATGCTGGGTTACTGTCTGAATCTTTTGGGCCACTCTGGCCAATAACTCAAAGGAAGGTATCTCCTGTCTGGCATTGTTTCTTGTTATGTGCTTTTAGCTATACATATGGACTCTTAAAAATTATATTGACCTCTTAAATCTTTGGTTATACTTTCCTTTTGGGTGTTTATGTCCCTACAATTTGCCCAGATAAACCAATTTATTTTTACTCTTAAGGTCGTTTGAGGATCTGTTCCTCAGGGGTCACATGGGCTTGGGAGGAGCCCCTGGCTCCTTTCTTTTACCAGTTCCGCCTATGTGAAGATAATTCAAAGGTCCTGCTCGACTATGGTTTCGCTTGGAAGCATGGAGGAAATGATTCCTCTGTGTTGACCCTCCTCTTTGTAAACTGGACACTGGTTCAATTCCATCTGGTGGGGTCTCCTCTGACTCCTTGATCAAGAGAACAGATGACCCACCACAATTACAGAACATTTTGAGAGATGCTCATAGTCCCCTGGAACTAGTCGACCTAGGATGGCAAGGAGCAAAAACTGTCCTTTATGTCCCTCTGACAAAATTATTACAGGCCTCAAAGTATGTCTGTTAAATATCGAAGTTTAGTTCCACCAGTCTGGTACTTTTAATTACTGTGTGTCATGTAGATAAATCTTGGTCAAAGATCAATTGTTCTCAAATAAACCTTACCTAGACATATATTTCTTGATCTGCTATGTATACTTTGTCAATAGGTTGTAGGAGTAATATGGGTCCCTCTGGTTTTTAAAACTAGCTAGGCATTATTTATCTCTCGCATTGTCTCACCCCTCCATCATGGTTTTCCCACTTAAGGTGCCCCCATTTTCCCCCTTTCTCCCTTAATAATACCCATCTCCTATGGTCCCATTTCTCTTGAGCTCCTACAGGTGATACCTTCTTTTGAGTTGTTGGCCAGGGTGGCCAAAGGGATTCCCAGATAGTAACCCAGCATAGAATTGGGAAATTGAACAGCAGACCCCAATCTTATCCAAAGGAATATTGACAAATGATTGCTGCTAGACGAGGAACAGCTGACCCTCCTAAAACAAAGATCTCTAGATAGGCTGACTAGATTCACCAGAAGGGCAAGTAGTGGGGAATGGCTGGGGGTGCCAACAACACAGCAGACTGGATACATACTCACTTATCAGGGTTTGGTTCTAGGATCCATATATGAGGCGGAACATATGTTGATTTTTTTTTCTGGGTCTGTGTTACTTCACTTAGTATAACAGCTTCTAGTTCCATCCATTTACCTGCAAATTTCATGATTTCATCTTTCTTTACTGCTTAGTAAAGCTCCATCGTATAAATGAACCACATTTTCATTATCCACTCATCAATTGAGGGACACTTAGATTGCTTCCATCTCTTAGCTATTGTGAAAAGAGCAGCAACAAATATGGATGTACAAGTGTCTTTGCAATAGGATGAGTTTTTTGGATATATGCCAAGGAGTGGTATAACTGGGTCAAATGGTAGGTTCATTTGTAG